CGAAAAGCGGAACTAACTCTACAGGTTGCTCAATAATAAACAACCCCTCGAGCTCGATGCAGAAGTATCGGATCGGAACGATCGTTACACCATTCGAACGCCCTTGATACGGCGAATTTGCAAGGATCTTCAAAACCAGGTTTTTATTAAAATACGCTGTTTTACAAGCTATTTTGTAAAAATTTTTTATGCAAACTCGCCATTGGAAGGGCTTTCAGATGGCATTACTATCGTCCCGATTCAATCGTTCTCCGTCTAATTGGGGGGGATCCATGGTGCACCGTGGTTTTAAAATTTTCAAAAGTTGTTCCAAAGGGAATTACACCATTTTTAATGTTAGGCGGTGGGTGATCGGATCTCACACGGTGTCGGATAAAAAGAATAAATTACATACCATCTTTGATAACCTTCCGGTGGTGGTGGGGTGCCATGGCGCGACGATTTGAGCCGATATTCTGCGGATGTATGGCGTGCGTACGGCTGCGAGTTCCGTTTGCTACAAATAATTTGAATCATACTCCAGGTTACTATCTATATAAATAAAGTTTAAATAAGATAGGCTTTTACGCCTAGAAACTTAGAATCTATGGGCTGGACCATAAGTTCGTATAATCGAACTAAGGAAATTTCTTTCTAAAATTTTTGTGGGCCGATATTACTGCTTTTTTTCATTTTTGCGGAGTTTAATAGTAGGTAGTATCAAATTTACAAGATTTTAGCCACAGTAGTTTTTTTATTTTTGGCGTTTCTCTAGGCAGAGTTTCAAATTTTTTTTACCCAGACATCTTTCAGGATCACCATAACTATACCATAGGAATGAAAAACCAGCCAGATAATGCTTTTTAGCTACTATTTGGATGCTGAAATACGCGAAAAGATAGATCGGAACTGTTTTGGAAACAGCGGGCCGCAGCCTTTTTCGATTTTCTAGTAAATTGAACTGAAAAAATTCTAATGGATTGTGATTCCGTATAGAGCATTTGATTGTGCATACGTCAATCATTAAAAGATTGTGTTTCTGTACCGTTTTCTGGAACGATAATATAAAATACTGAAAAATATTGCACGCACTTTCGGTCCAACCTAATACATTATGACCTCTGAAAACTGACCGTTTCTTGAACACCTCAAACATCTCGTATCCCTCGTTGAATTGCTCCATCGGCAATTTGCAGCGCCAATGGACACTGTTTAAGGGCGCCTTACAGGGGTAGATACTCGATTCCGGTAGCCCCGGTTTTCCGGTCTTTTTGTTAATTTCGAGGCTTGTAGTGAAGAAGGCCATTGGGTAGCCGAAAACCGGCCCGTCAAAATGAGGATTGGCAGCCAGTCTCCATTCGAGTTTGTAGTAGGACGGGCAGGGTTTCTAGATTCTTGCATTGATCAGCAAAGAAAAAAGCAATGCGGGTTTTAGTTGTCAAAAAATATCGGGTAGAGTGTCTCAAACAATCGACTCGCGCTAGCGGGTCCAAGAGAGCTCGAACCCGGATGATTTTTGTACCATTCAGAAGCGCAAAGGCAAAAAAGCAAGCACCCTTGCTTTCCAAAAATTTTTCACTTAATAATATTGAACGGTTGTTAAAAAGGGTTCGGCCTTTTAGCTGGAGATCAGCAATTAACACAATTTTTCATAAATGGGGATTTTGGTCGGAAAATTCTTGAATCAAAATGCCGAAATTAAAAAACGAAGCTCTTGTTTTTTCGCCTTGCCAAGTGCTTACTTCAGATAGCTAAATGGTCAGAATCGGACGATTTTCCGGTCCCCTAGAATGCGATCGATTTTCTTTTGAGACACCTTGTCTAGCATGATTTTAATTTAGGCCTAGCAGTGATGATGAATCTGTTGATGTTTTTAGTATTCTTGAGACTAATAGAGAAAATGAAAGACCTGCATGGCCCAATGGTAATTGATTATCGGAGCGACATCAAAAACTGTAACTTACGCCTGCAACGACGTTGGTCACGTGGCATCCATATTCAATGGGATTGTCGGGTAGGTCGTGTACATCGTCAACAACCATCTAGAGCAAAATCGTTTCTAGCCCAAAAATAAATAGCGTAAGTAATGAGGAGGAGACTGCATTCAGGTAGAAATAAAGCACTGCTAAGCCCAGCGGGCTTTTTTCAGCGCAGAAGCATAAGAAAAGTACGCGTGTTTGCGCTTTGTATAAAAAAATTCCTGATTGGGAGAAGAATCGGAAGCTTGAGGAATCCTTGGATTTGAGCCCCAATTTGGATGGAATAAAACCATAGCTAGTCTAGCGCCGAGCGTAGGCAGCGAAATGTGGGATCCCATGCCTGGCAGAGGCGGGACCAGTGTTCCAGATCTAGAGACCGGATCTGGAAGGTTGCAAAAAAATGGGGTCGGCAAGGTTACGCGAATCGATGAAACATCAAATAATGCCACCGCGAGTAAAATGGCGCATTTTAAAGACAGGGCGTTTGAAGTTTTGCAAACTTTCAGACCATGAAGCTCCGTTGCGACGGCCTATCCAAAGTCCTTTATTCTCCGGCGTTACTTTTCGACTCAAACGTAATATATTCTTGCTCTAGAGATCAAGATAAACATTATGGTATATTGCGCAACACTATAGCACAAAGCTGAGCTGAGATACAAAGGCTGGGTTGGCCTCGCGAAAGAATTTCGGGGTCACTTCCAAAAAGCTGATGATGCCAGCTATTGTAATAAATGGGTCAAAGAGCCTCGTACAGTTTTGTGGGCCGCCTGTTCGTGACGAGAGCGAGAGGGAAAGAGAGGGAGAGAGAGGGAGAGAGGGAGTGAGACAAGAGAGAGAGAGAGAGAGAGAGAGAGAGAGAGACGGAAATCAAGAGAATGAGAGCGAGAGAGAGAAAGAGAGAGAGAGCGAGACAGAGAGAGCGAGAGAGACAGAAAGCAAGTGAATGAGAGAGAGAGAAAAGAGAGAGAGGAGGGGGGAGAGGAGGGGGGAGGAGGTGCGGAACGGATGCCGGTGGTTGACCTCTAAATTGCTACCAACTCTATTGTCGGGGCAGCAACCGCCGTCCCAATTTCAATTCAAGGTACTGAGGGCCGTTTCGGTCAAAGTTCGCTCACGCGAATAATTGCGAGATCAAATCTCAGGGAAGGGGGCTCGCGAGAGTGGTCCATCCTTTGACAAGCGTCTCATGAGGAAGAGATCCGCCCCACACCCCGAGGAGTAACAAGGGCAGATCAAGATGGGCCAGCTGGGGGATCTCCAGCTGGGAGCCGGCTAATAATCGGTTTATTGCGCAGGCCAGTCCTGTTACCGGCACGGGTTTTGAAGCACCCGACGCGAACGATAGAAGAATTTTTTATAGTGGCGGCCCTTGACTTTTTATAGGAGCTCTGGCAACACTGGCCAATACAGCGGCTCGGGGTGGGGCAGAGACGCAGATTTCTGTCTGCGTCTGTCCTTTGGGCGTGCTCTTTCTTTCCCTGCGGCGGCGACGCCCCCGACCGCAACGCTCCCGCGACGCATGTAAAGACCCTTTAGGGGTCCAATTTGAAGCTTTTTTTATTCGAATTTAATAGGATTATTGCAAACATTCGCTTTTGTGGGCAAACCCACTTTTTCCCTATCTTTTTCTGATGACATAAGGCTCATACTTGCGCTCATCCTGGGATTTTTCGATCGAATATTGCCAATTGCGGGGCATGACATTTTTTCAATAAATGGGACACCCTGTACAATGGGAATCGAATCGTAGCTCCCCGGCTGCAGTTCATCCGGACAGGCAACCGGTATCGTGCCCCGCTGGTCACTATGATTAGCCCAACAGGCGCCGCCCCCCCCCCCCTCCGGCGCCTTTCCGACACCCTTATGGTTAGCTCACGCTATCTATTAGGTTGGAACTAAAGTTCGCGCAATATTTTTCTTTCTTTGTAATTTTCGGACCGGAAAACGGGCCTGAACCAAAATGTTATTTGGATGAACGGATATGCAATAAAATTCTCTATTTGATGTGTGGGACGGAATCGCGTTGCTTCGCTATTAGGATTTTTTAAAGCTAGATTTAAGCGAAAATGAAAAATGGCTTCGGCCCGCCTTTACAAAACAAATCTGGCTTCCTTTTTAGGCTAATTCGGCATGCAGCTGATAGATATAACTTATTATTATAGTGATGATCGGTTCTTATGGTGACTTTATGGCGGTTCGGAAAGATGTCCGGGTCAAAAATTTGAAGTGCCCTCGAGAGAAACGCAAAAATCTTAAAAACTACTGGGGCTAAAAACCTGTAATTTTGATCCCACATACTCATGAACCCAATAGATATATGCAAAGAGGGAACATCGGAGTCTGGCCACTAAATTTTCAGAAAGAAATTTCCAAAGTTCGATTGCGCGAACTTATGTTCCAACCTAATAGAAGCCAAATTGATTGAGGCCCAGCTGTCCACTGCAGAGTCTCACAAAATTTTCCTCCCTGCCAAATCTCATTTGCGATCAGCAATTCTAAATTTTATTGTTTAGTATTTCTGCACGACTTTTCATGCTGCAGCCCGGAATTTCCGAAATTTTCGATATTTTTCCTACGTTTTCTTTCTTTTTTTCTATGCAGTTAGATAAACTAATGGATAAATTGACAATCCTGATGGGAAGATTGATAATGATATACAAGCAAGATATGGCCGAGCAAAAATAACCTCTCAAAAGATTGAAGCTCAAAATCAGGCAAGATAAAAGGGATAGCAAGAACAAAATTATGTAACTTTCGAAAATAAGTTGGCCTGCAAATTCCGGTTTTCCATATTTTCGAAAGTCGTGCCCTTTTGAGCTCCATAACTCGTTTTGAATCAGCCTCCATTCGAACGGGAACACCCTCTTTTTCCGCTTCCAGATTTGACCTCCAGATACTGTCCATTTGTCTTCCGGTACCCCTAAACGAATCATAGATCTTGACGTCTTTAAATCCGTCCTTAGTCCTTTCATTTTCCGGCTCTATCTTTGGGGTACTTGATGTACAAATCTGAATTTTTTTAGAAATTACAAAACATTCTGAATGATACAACTACCACCGAATTGTCACCCAATTCAATATGGATGCCATGTGACCAACATCAGTGCTCACGTAAGTCGTTTTGACGAATGAAAATAATGTATTTAGCTTAATATTTAATACTAATGCATGATATAAAACGGTATTTTGCAAAAAAATACCAATTTCTAAAACTTTTGATTTTTTTGATGATTTACCAGGGGCAGAGCGGAAGTTTCGAAAAACCTAAATCTGTCTGATTTTTAGGATTTCGTAACTATCAAAAGCGTATCGAATTCTACTTTTTGGCAGATAACCTCAAAATCGCTCAAAAAAAGGCGATGAAATAGGGTTTTGCCATTCTCCAGGTTCTAGTATTTTTCTTGATTCTTCATTTTGTGCAAAAGTTACGTGTTTTTTTCAAAAAACTTAATTTGGCTTATTTAGTAAACTTAATTTAGTATGAACGCCTTGCAAAAAGTATCTTTTAACTAGTTTTCGAAACGCTTAAACCAGTGTTTAGAATAAGTTTTGATCCGAAAAGCACGCGAATTACAGTTCGTTTTGCAAGTTCTAACAAAAACGTAGAGTGATTTTTAGGAAGCCTGCCCGTCGTTCCACCAAGTCCAGTGGAGACCGGCGGCGGACAATCGCTATGATGGAGTTCTTTGCGGCTATCCGATGGCCTTCTTCACGACATCGCTCGCATTTAAATGGCCGTATAATGAAGTGGGGCTACCAGAAAAGAGTATCTACCCCTGGAATTCACCCGACGAGACCCGCCATTGGCGCTGCAAAATACCGATGGAACGCTTTAATGAGGGATATCACATGTTTGAAGTCCGGCCGGAGACGTAAGTCAATTTATCGCTTCCGGATGGCAATAAATGCCGACCATTCAAAATGTCAGGTTGTTCTTTTGCATTAACGGGGGTGGAAGGTTATAAACCGCAAAAAAAACCTAGTAAGCTAATAGTGATTAATTTTATAAATAGTTTTTACGCTTTCCGAGCTGTATTTTAAGCTGAAAACTGTCTAACTAGTCTAGTAAGAGCTTTAAAAACTCTTAAAGTTACAAAACTTTGTCGAAAAAAGCCCATTTTTGGTCGAATAAGACATATTTGGTATTTCGGATCCATTTGTCAATCGTCCCCCCTCCGATAATGCCAAAGTACCTGCCATGCGAAAAACTTTGGGGTGGTACCCGGCCCGCTGGTGTGAATAATTCCATTCCAGTTGTATCTCCTTAAACACCCAAAATTTTTCCTTTTCAGAGCGGGCCAAGACTTCATACTACTCGTCAAATCTCATGAAGCATACCGATTTGAAGGCCGTGAGGGTGTATTCCCGCCCTGCCCGGATTTCCTTCATCGATCACTTGGTCGGATTAACGGTGAATGGTACAGTACCGTGTACAGGAGCAGAGAGGAGGGCGATCTTTACTGCAAGGTTGGAGTGATCGGCTCTATCCCGCTACCGATCTGTGTGCGAGCGTCGAAAAGCCTTCTGACGGATGCGGCCGCCCTGGTTACCCCTGAACTGCTTGCAAAAGTCGTGAGGCCAGGCTATAAGCGCGGATGGTCCGATCAGGACGCAGTCGGGCTCGTTCGAAAAAGGTTCGAGTTCCTGAGCCGAAACCGCTGCACAAGTTGGAGATGTTTGGAACCGAATCTCGAAGATCCATTGCAGGTAGAAAAATTTTAGTCATTAATGCAAGCGTTTCCTTTCTAGCTAGCGAAAGACATCATCGAGCTCGTTTGGAAGTACTCGGAATGGCTGGTCGGGTCGGATCAGTTTGTTGAGTCGAGCGCATTCTACCGCGAGAGATTTACGCCAAAGATGATCCAGATTGTACATTGCAAGGCGACACACGGAACGCCGGCTATTGCTTGCAATTGCTGTTGCGAGCATTGGGATGTGGTTGGGAAGATTCATGGAGATTTCCGGTGAGAATTACCTAGTTTATGCAGACAATAAAGTTAATGTAGAAGCCAATCCAGTTTCAGCTCAGCAAAGCGGTTAGATTAATTACCTCCCCCATAAACCGCATAAACCATAGTATAAATCCAAATAAATTTCATTCAGGGACGTTTTCGACGAGGACGCCATCATCACAACCATCCTTGATAGATTCGAGTCGGCTACCCATCATTACTTCTAAAATCATTACTTCTAAAATCATTACTTCTAAAATCATTACTTCTAAAATCATTACTTCTAAAAGTCATTACTTCTAAAATCATTACTTCTAAAAGTCGTTACTTCTAAAATTCTAAGCGTATTTTTGGGCATAAATATGCCGAAAAATTGGTAATCCGGCATACCAAATTTTAGAAGTAACGTTTTTAGAAGTAATGATTTTAGAAGTAATGATCGTACCCCATTCGAGTAATGTACTCTTCTCAGTGAACCCAGCCCCCTGGTAATTTTAACGCCGTAAACAATCGAAAGCGCACATTTAGATCTCGTCTATTTCACTGCCACTTTACCTCAACGACACTTGCCGAAAGAACGAAAAACCATTGCTCTTGCCTGCGTTGTGAAATTGTATAAGTTGATTACTGCATAACAAAAAAATGACTATGGAATACACATCAATGCAACAAATCGTTTGGAAATATCAAAATTGTATGAAAATTTACGCTTTTAAAATCGATGCCATTTAAATGTTTTTTTTTTTCAAGATAAACCACTATTTTAGCTGCTTTAGTCGAGAGCATAGGTATCACAAAAAACTGGATGCGAATAGAATGATAGCTTAACCAATAACATTAATAATATTGATGAATGCTTTAGAGGTGGCAAGAAAAAAATTGTTGATAGATCGATTCGGGAAATAGGAAAATTCGATTAGGACAGAAAACTATCCACTTTTCGTCAAAATAATGCGATCACCAAGGGAGTAAAGCGGAAAGGAGGGACAATAGGATGAAAATCGGAGCGGAAAAAGACTGACTATTTGACATTTGGAAATCCAGGTACTAGTGTAATATAGAGGGGGGGGGGGTTTAAGGGGCAACGCGCAGGTCTATGAAGAGGACGTTTGATGAGTTATGGGGACTTCAAGGGTATCAAAATAAAGCTCTCGGAGTGCGCTATCAAACCAGTTGTAAGGATTGCGATCGGTTGAGCTAGCCGTCAATAGGAGCGTTGGGAAAATCCGTACTTAGGCTCACCGTCTCGCCGCAACACACCTTTACCTCTACAACAGACCATCTATTTCCGACTACTCGTACCTTGCCAATTCATACTGTACCCATGCAAATATTTTTTTCGTGATCCCTCTCGGGCAGTGCTGTTTTTGAATAAAAGGCGCAAACTGTCCATAAAAAGTGTCCACTGATTTGTCAAATTGATGTACCAAAACAGAGGATTGTCTCGATGTGTCTTCTCTAAATGAATCCGGTTCTCTCTCTCTCTCCCTCTCTCTCGCTCTCTCTCCCTCGCTCGCTCTCTCGCCCGCACCGTGAAATCGTGAAGTTTTCAACGATCCCGACTTTACACTGCAAAAAGTATCGTTTCCTCGGCCGAGCCCTGCTTCGCCTCTTTGAAGTTTTGCGAATAAAGAAAATTCGGAGACATAAAAGGGGGACCTGTAATCTCAATACATTGCTTTGGAAATTTGTCTCTTTATAACCGGCCTCCAACCGAGCCCGCTACACTCGAGATGCTTCTGAAAATCGCTGTCCTACTGTGCGTCCTCGGCTTTCTCGCAACGCCCAGCATAGCAAAAGTAAAAATAGTTTTTAACCAGGGTTGAAAAGCCGCTTCGCGACTTTTCAACCCTGGCCCCGTCTAACCCTATGATGTTCTTGGTTTTGCATAATTGTGCCCCAATTCCGATGACAAAAAATGAAAAACGCTCCCTTTGAGCCTTCATACAGGCCACAGCGACTTCCGGCGTATGCTAATTTTATCCTAACAAAGTGGGTGTCGGAATTTTTAAGAAAAACTTAATTTTAATGTCGAAAACACCATATTTTACAAAATCTGATATGTGTGCAGTCATCTCGAGACCATGACGCATCTAATGACGTATCAAACACCTCCTTAAACCCATCTCCTCTCGAGATATCCTCTGGACACCCTGACGGAAGTTGCATGCAAATGCACACACACACACAAACACTATTTTTTTATATATAGTAGGATGTGCGGAATTCAATCACACGCTTGATTTCTAATTGATCGCACGCTTCTAATGGGTTTTAAGTCGCCTATCTGATAAAAATTTTTTCTGATTTGAATGGTATGTTTCATTAAGGTAGGCTTCGTCTATCCGACGTCTTACAGCTGTTTGAAGTAGGCTATTTTTCACTTTTCCCATACAAAACCGGGTCCATGCCCAGTATCGTCAATTTTCCAATTTTCGAAATGTCGAAAATTTTGAGTTAATGGGCTCGTTCGAAAGAGAAAATTTATCTGAATTCGTTTGCGAGATTTATTTTTGCAAAATCGGCCGGGTAACGAAAGATAATCGAGCTCAAAGTGACGATTTTGACTAAAGGATCCGTTTAAAAGTGGCATAGCTCGAGTTTTAAAGTTCAGTAGCAAATTCGGACAACAAGGTGATGATCAGCGTGGTCGATTCTATCCGAGTGCAAATTTTCAGCAAATCTCGGTCCGGGTTTATTCGGGCTCCCCATAGTTCATCTTAGGCTTATGTTTACGTCTAAACCTAGGCTTGAAACATTTTTTTTCAGGAACCTGAATGCACGGCCGTTGATATGTGCGGAATTGCTGGATGCCCTGAAGGAAAAGAGTGCGTATGCCACGGAAAACATTCGATTTGCATGCGCACGAAGGTAAAAAAGCCCGCCGAGCCTTTGATGCGAAAAGGGTATTTTCAGCCGCGCGGACGGCGCCAGGCACTCGGATGGGTCCCGCAAGTGTAGAACTCGACCACATAAATTTGCATCGTGAAAATGTCTGAGACTACAGATAAAGCACCGAAAAACACAGAAACAAGGCACTGCTTGTTGAAACTGGGGTGGCCGGGAGGAACGTTTGAAGTCGTTTGAAGAACGTCTTCTCCAAGCTCCTTCGTTTTCCAACAAATTTAAAAATTGCTTCCAGAAAAATTGAATTTACTACTGGTTTTTAAAACACGAGATAACCACGTTTTCGCATCGAATTTTCAGATTGGTCGAAACCATTTGTTATATCAAACGCACCATTTCGCTTCGAAAAACTCCAACATCCCGTTAAAAACGAATACTTGGAGGCGAAGTCCGGCAGAAGAGCGAGCGCAAAGCTCAAAAAAACACCAGGGTTTTCAGGCTGTCCCAAACGCTAAGCTAGTCCAAAGCGACCATATTACAGGGATGTTCTCGACCCGGACGCCATGAGCACAACCATTTTTGAAAGATACCGGTGCATTCTCCTTGAGCGAAACCTGAACCAAGGTAATTTCAACTCCGGAAATGAAAATCTAGAGCGTAAATTTAGATATCACCTAATACACTGCCACCCTACCTCAACGATACCTACCCAAAAGAACCTAAAACCTGTCTGCGTTGGGAAATTGTTTAAGTTGATTACTGGATAATGCATAATACGCGCATAACATGAAAAAGCGTTTTTGAATTATTAGGTTTGTATACAGGGTGTCCTAATAAAAAACACCCCCCCCCCCCTCCCAACTCGACGCAGAAGTATCGGATCGGAACGATCGTTACACCATTCGAAAGCCCTTGAAACGGCGAGTTTGCAGCAATCTCGAGAACTATGTTTTTATATAAGCACGCCATTTCACAACGCAGTTAAAAACGCAAAGGAACGTTAAATGACGCTTGTTTAAATCGATGCTTTAAATGTATTTTCTACAGCCAAAAAAAAATTGATATTTTAGTAGCTTTATTTGAGAGCATAGGTATCACAAAAACGGGACGCGAATAGAATAATAGCTTAACAAATAATATTAATAATATGGATAGAAATAATACTTTCGTGGTGGCAAGAAGACATTGTTGGAATTGATAGATTGATTCGGGAAATAGGAAAATTGGATTAGATGCAAAACTGCTATTTTCGATAAAAATAATGCAATCACCGAGGGGATAGAGCGGAAGGGGGGAAATAGTAGGAGAAAATGGAGCGGGAAAAGACTGACTATCTGACATTGAGAAATCCAGGTATTAGTGAAGTATAAAGGGGGGGGGGGCGGTGAGAGTTTAAGGGGGCAACCCGCAGGTCGATGAAGGGAATGGCTGGCTTGGCTTAGGCATATTTTAATGGGGCTTGGGAAGTTGTGGATTTTACAATTCTGAATCCTTTTAAAGGGGATATGCTAAAATCGACTTTGAAAGTTCACTAGGTCTCGACAACTCCGAGGCGCTTGAAATTACGGGTTCGCAATTCCATTTAAGAGCCGTAGGACAACCGGTGATTTGGAGTGTTGAGTAGCAATCGAGACCTGGCTCGCGGAAGGGTCGCTTTCCTGACTTTCCAGCCCATTTAAAAAAATCACAAGAATCGACTCCTCTGTTAACTAGGTCTCGACCAGTGTCGATTTCGAGCCTTCTAAGTTCCCTTAAAGTCCAGAAGCCTAGCCATGATTTTGACACATTTTGCAAAAGTGAGGAATGGAAGGAGGTGTGAAAAGTGACAGACTGGCACGAACGGGGCATTGCGGAATTGATGCGTAGAAATTTTTGTGGAGATTTTAAAGGGTTAGTGAAGTGAGGAACCTTATGGATTTCGAGAAAATTCATCCTGACTTCACTGGCCCTTTATAGCCTCAAGTATGATCCCGAAATTTGATTTTCGAGGCAATTGCGGGGAGGTAAGAATCCAGAATTCTTCATATTCGTAATGGCAGCTGAAAGGCCTGAGTAGTGGTTAAAACGGCGGGTGTCAAGAGGTGTGCTTCGTAGGTGTACGATTTACAGCACTCTCCAGATAGTCAGCAGGGCGCCGAAGAAGATGAACAGCTGGCTCGAGGAGGCGGTGGGCACTGAAAAAATTGTATAAAGAGAGAGAGAGTGAGAGAGAGAGAGAGAGAGATAGGGAGGGAGAAAGAGAGAGAGAGAAAGAGAGAGAGAGAGAGAGAGGGAGAGAGAGAGAGGGAGAGAGAGAGAAAGAGAGAGAGAGCGCGCTAAAAACTAGAACGTACCGTTGTCTTCACCAGGAACCTCGATAGTCTGGAACTTCCTGGCCATCGATCCCCATCCCATAGCATTCCGAGCCTCGACTTGCACCTCATAGGCTTTTCCCTTCTGGAGGAAGGTAGCGAGGTCGACGGATGAGGAGTACTCATCCGAACCAGTGCGGTCTTCTGAAAAAAAAATTAGATTGACTGTATCGATGCAAAAATCAGGTCGAAACGCTCCGACAATTCGGACAAAAATTCTAACCATACGTTGATTTCAAAATTTACAGTACGACCTTAGAAGTACTATCACGTACTCTTATCAGCCGACACCGTGTGCTTTCCGTTGAAGATGTCGTGCGAGCGGAGACGGAATTTGACAGCGTACTCGATGATCGGGGAACGGGAACGCACGGACCACTTCAGGACCGAGCCGGCGACGTCAAGCTCGGGAGGGCCGGGTTTACCTGGAAAAGTGGATTGAAAATCTTATGCTCTCTCATTGTTACTACCTCTCTCCCTCTCTCCCTCTCTCTCTCTCTCTCTCTCTCTCTCTCTCTCTCTTTCTCACTCTCTTTCTCTCTTTGTCTCTCTCTCTATCTCTCTATATCTCTCGCCCTCTCTTTTCTCTAGCTTTTCCGAACCTTAGATTTTCAAATCCTAATGTTGTTATTCATAATCCCCCACCCATCCCCCTTTATCCAATTCCCGGCCGCCAGCCGCGCAATGTTTCTACCCCAACCCTAGAAAGGGGCAGCTGGGGGACACCTGCACAGAAAGACATTTCGGGGATGGACCGACACAGACAGACAGACAAACACACAAACTGACACACCGGGAAACAATGCCTCCTCCCTTCTCGCCCTTGTCCTCCACTTAACCAATAAAGCGGTGGGGAGGATCTTCATCCCCCTTGAATATATTGGTTACATGGTAAACAAAATTATACAGAAAACAGATACGTGAATTTTGACTAGGTTTTCTATCACAATTCAAGACATAAGCTTCAGAAGGTTTAAGTTTAAAGGATTTTGGGTGCCAAGGTCGACAATTCGCACGGCTAGGTCACGACTAGGAACAAACTACGAGTTTCTACTCAAGATATTGGTTGTCCCGGTACCTTTAAATGGACAAGGAAGTCCCGAAATCCACCCCTTTGATTCGTTAGGTCTCGACAAACAATAACTTCGCATACAAATTTTCGCAGGCGAAAACCCACCAGAAACATGAACAACAGCCCTGGCGGTGCCCAAATTGTTCGACGCCTGGCAGATGTAGTCGCCGAAGACGTCCTGGTTCATGCGGTGCAGCTGCAAAAACATGAATAAAAGCCCAAAAAAAAATGATACCTCAAGGGTGGTCCGCGTGTAATTCTGCTCGCGCTGCTCCCACTCCTTCGCGTCCATAAATTTCTCGTCGTTCAGCTAAAAAAGTATACTTCATGCTGAATGACAAATATCTTACGGTAAAGTGTTTTTACTCAGGCTGGCGTTTTGGGATGGGGTCAAGTCTACCTTGTGCAGAATTTTTCGCTGATTCCGAATATGGCTTCCAAATCTCCTGCCGACCTTTATTTAAAAAGCTATTTGATATTTATACTATAACAATTGGGAAAATTTGGATTTCTTTGCGTTATTTTTAAGCTGTCGTCATCATCAACGTTAAAACTGGCTAGATAACGGTTTTAGACGTTAAAGCACAATTTTATGCAAAAAAATTCCGTGTTTTTGTGCGAAAAGCAAAAGGGATTGTGCACGCGGGGTTCGAACCGGCGCCCTCTCCTGGGCAAGCAAACACCTTGCCAATGCACCATCGTGCCAACCAGGCCCGCAGGGGGGCGAGCCCCCGAAATCGGCCGAAGGCCGAAAAGTTCATAAGGGGGGACCCCTTATGATTTAATATTCCAAAAAATTTTTTGCCTGCGGCGCTGTTTTTGCCTATTTTTAACACTAGTTTTAGTGTTATAAACACTATTTTTTCAAAAATTTTGCCTGCGGCGCTGTAGTTTTAGTCATATTAGTGAAACATTTTGGGGGTCGCCCCCCCGAAATTTGGGTTTGTTACGGCCCTGGTGCCAACTGGGGCAGCGGCTTCAGGAGGGTAGATAAGGGGCACGGCAAAGCCTGGACCCATGCCGGGAATAGTGGGGCAGCATTCGAATTTATGCCGTTTTTAAGCTTAATTTCGACCTCAAATGACTTTTTAACGCAAAATCCGCAGCAAATTTGGAAAACGGATTCGGAATCAGCAAAAAATTCTGCACAAAATAAGCTTGGTCCCATTCTAAAACGCCAGCCTGAGTAAAAACACGTTACGGTTAGATATTTCTGAGAGGTATAAAACCCACCTTAACCCTGTATCCATTGTAGTACCACTCGAGGTTGGGCGGCGGGTTCCCGTCAAAAGTGCAGGAGATGTTGGTCGAGTCCAGGTACCCGACGGGAATATAGCCCTCCTCGGTGCGCACCCATGGTTTTACTATAGAGAGATGTTTACTACCCTCGGGATTAATTTTTATAAATTCTTACTTCAGAAAATCGCTAAATTTCATGAACTTCCGCAAACTTTCAATTTGAAAAGCCGAAAAGCAACAGTTTTTAATTGATTTTAGAATTTTGTTTTGTTGTCTAATATGGGTAAAAACTCCACTCCGTTACCCTCCAAATCACGACGCCACAATATGCAAAACTTACCACCGGCTCCCGAGATCGCATTGTTGGGCCCTGAAAAAAACGAACGGGTTAGAGAAGTGCAAACCATGCGTTGAATATTCCGCTTTTCATATTGTAATCGATACTGAGT